GAAAAAGGCCTCGGGACTGTTTAGATAATCGACTTGAACTACTCAAGCTCGACTCGTGTTCGGTTGAACTCTGGAACCCTATATGCCAACCCACAAAATTCTACTCTATTTACCGTAAAAATACAAAATCACGAGTATAGAATCGCGAGTTTAAACAAAGCAAGAATAAACGACTTTACTGTGCCTCCCACGCACAGAGAGACAAAACACGCGCACAAACGTCGGTCTTCACTGATAGATCTCCTCAAAATATCCTAAACCCTCAAAAAACCCTGCTTTACTGTTTCCTAGGCATTTCTCCTAGCAGAAGTACCTCGTGAGATCTCAATCTTTCCATCAAATTTCGTTGTTTATCATCATAGATCAGCTATACCTATCTAAGAAAATATTTGTCGGTCTGTCTGTTCTCATTTGCATCTCCGTTTTCGTCTTGCAGGAGGCGAAATTAATGGCTTACAGACGGAGCATCACAGCTAGAGCGAAGCTCTTCTATCAGCAGCAGCAGCAGCATCGAGTCGCGCCTCCGTTTTCGCACATACATCGTGATGATGGCGATCGAGATGATTTTCGCACAGATCCCGTTCCCAGGAGCCCGGTAACCAGTAATTGTTTCCAGCACCGGCTTTTTGGGAACACGAGTGTTTTCAGCACTTTTGGCGGGCCGAGAAATGGTTTTCAGGGCAGTAGATTTGCGGTTCCAGCTGGCTGTGGGTTGATTCTGGGTAGGAATTTCTCTACCGGTAGTGTTGGAGAAGGGGCGGCCGATAAGATTGAGATTTTGAACGACATGGCGGGGGCTTTGGGGGAGAAGGCTGCGGAGGTGGCGCCGATGGTGAATGAGGTGGCAGTTGCAGCGGCAGATTCGTTCTTCCCAGTGGCGGCCCTTCAGCACATGATTAACTACATTCACATCTATACAGGATTGAATTGGTGAGGATATAATGGTGCCTTTGATTTTGCGCTTGTGATGTAACTTTTTTGTCGTGTTTGCCGATGGAACGAACATCAAATAATTCTGCGTTTTGGTAAGCGGAAATGGTATGGTTTGAGGTCTTGTTTGATGTCAAAGATGAACATCATCGTGTGTGTGAAAAATTAGAGAGGTAGGACTGTTCACTTACATTATGATTTTGTGAATATTTATGGCACTTAAGTAGTAATTGCATGTCTGAGCACTCTACTTAATATTTGAAATTTTGTCGATGTGTTTTCTGTGATATAATACTTGTTTGTTATGACGAATTTGTTCTTGGAGGTGTCTTTGATAAAGCTCTTGTGGAAAAGTGAAAAGTTTTAGAATATTTGCTTAGGTGGGCATCAATTGCTGTGGCAACTCTTTTGATTCGTTCACTTCAGCTTCCTCTTATCGTGAATCAGCTGAAATCAACTACCAAGTTTTCCGTGAGTTCTATGCATGCCTTATCATTTGCATCTTTTGGTTCTGTTTATATATGACATTGTGACCATCTACATTTATCTCTTTTTGATGATCTAGAAATCCACTATTGTCGGAAAATAATGTCATTTCAAATATAAAGTTCGTTTCCATATCATTGAAATTCTAATAGCTCTCCACCAACCTTCGTCATCCCCATTGGCCATTCATAGCTTGAAATACTAGAGATTGAGAAAAGATGACTTGGAAAGTGAATGACAGGCTTGACCGTTCGAAATGAAGCAACATATATGTAAAATTTGTGGCAAAATTTCTTCGATTCTGGAGTAGAGGCTTTAGGATTTGACAATCTTGTATATTATTTCAGTTTGGAAGAAGTGGAAAAAGAAAATACCCGATTATATTCACGACAAGTACTTCTGTATTACATTTTTTGAACTCTGGATATTTATGATGCCACGACTCCCATACAACAAAGGCTCAAATTTTTGATACATAATATATCTGCTCATGACCTCAAAACTGGATCTTAGCATAAGCTTTTCATTTACCATATTTTCTATTTTTTTTAAGTATGAACACATTTATGTAATTTGTGTGTCCTGTGCAGCTTCTAAGACCAAAGTTGGAGGCAATCAAAGAAGAAATGCAAGATAGGGTATGCTTTATTTCGGATACTGTTTTCATTGATCAGGTTGATTGATTGTCAAGGACGTGTCCTGAATGTTCAGGGAATCCTAACTTGTATTACTGTCATTTTAGTGTATGTGTATCCTGCAACAATCTACTTTGCTGTTGCCTCCATCTAATATAACCTACATTAATATGTTGTTGTTGTTTCCAACTCTCATTGGTTATAACAAGTTATTGTTTGACAGGACATGAGCCCCAGTGCTGTTGCTGAAGGTCAGGCAAGAATGAAAGAATTGTTCAAAGAGTATGTTTTTTTCACTTCTTTACTGATTGAGAAAGTCATCATAAATGTATGAGGTCCATTTGCTATGGGATTGGAATATCTGGCTCACTATGAAAACAAGTAAAACGTATAATGGCGATCCATTCATAGTAATATGTAACAGTGGCTAACATTTAAAACGTCTAGGACAAATTCATAGTAATATGTAGCAGTGGCTAACATTTAAAACGGCTAGGACAAATAATGGTAGGCTTAAAGTTTGGATTTATTTTTTTATGGAACTCAAAATCCTGTTGGAGCTGGTCTATTTTCACAAGACTGGAGCTCAGGCAAAGGTCTAGTGCATCATAACATGACTCAATTCTAAGTAGCAGACATTTTCCTGAAGTTAATAGAGTTCAGATCAAACTGAACTTCAGATCTTAGTGAATGAAAGCTGTGGTCAAACTTGCTCTTGTTATGCGACGTAAATACGGAACCAAAACTGTAGCTATCTGTCATGGAAAAAGGAACACATAATTTTATTTTTATTTCATTCCTATGGGCTACAAAATTATAAAGTTGCGAAGGAAGAAAATCTGGAGATTGCTGTTCTGTGCTTGTGTGAGCTGCATAATCACTGCATTTGGTGCAGGAATTTATTGTTAATAAGAAATACGTAGTGTTCATGAAAATTTGGTGCTCCTTCAGTGATAGCATTGCCATAAAGAAAAAAATGTGCTCGCGCACACTCACTTGCCCAAACTGCCAACTCTAGATAAAATATATTGTATTTATCATGTATCAATAAAGTAATCTTGCACCTGGGTCAAATATGGTACTTTTTGTCTTTGCCATATCTTTTTATTTTTCCAATTTCAGTACTTACTTTTACTAAGAAGACGATGTTCACTGATTTTATTGCATGTTGGTATTGCAGATATGGTGTTACCCCATTTACCCCTTTAAAAGGACTTCTAATTTCAGCTCCCATTTTTGCAAGTTTCTTCTTTGCTGTACGATGACTATCTTCAAGCTTTATATAGATAATTTGCTTCTCCTTTTCATGCCTTTCTTCGCCTCAGTATTTATATTTCATCCGTATCTTTCAAGCACTTGACCTTGAATATCATTCACTACATTTTGCAGGTTAATAACATGGCAGAGAAGGTTCCATCTTTCAAAGAGGGAGGATTATTTTGGTTTACTGATTTGGCAACTCCTGATAGCATGTATATTTTTCCAGTTCTGACGGCATTGACATTTTGGATTACGGTGGAGGTATGCTACATTTCTCCTCTTAGTATTTATATTGAGATGCAATCACCTTTTTTTTTTTCATCATCCGGCATATACTCTTTCCAAGATATGTTCCTTTTGAGATTGTATAAGTTCATTTTTTGGATTTACGGTGGAGTATGCCACATTTTCTTTCTCCTCTTCGTACTTATATTGAGATGCAATCACTTTTTTGTTTTTTGTTTTTTATCACCCGTCATATACTCTGGCCAAAATATGTTCCTTTTGAGATTGTATAATTTCATTTTTTTCCCTTCCTATTGTAGGGTTTATGATTTGCTTCCTCATCAGTAATCCATATATCTTTTCCCAATGTACCAAATTGTGAACACCTAGCTCTGTTCCTTTGGTTGATTGCATCTTGAATAAAAAAAGATCCAATACTTTAGGCTTGAGCTTGGTTCTTAACTGCCCAAGTTATGTACACAATTTGGTAAAGGGATCAGCTACGGATGAGTCCAGCTTGTACATTTTGACTTTGCCACCTTGAATATACTAATTGATAACTACAAATGCTGATTGAGCATCATTTGACAATGACCCTGATTTACAATGCTTTATTGGGGATGCCGTAGAATTTATTTATCCATAAAAACATGTGTAAGATTGTTTGAATATAATTTTTTTTTTCAGCTTTTATGGTTCTAAACATTAGAAACATAAATGAAACAGTAGAACCCAATGGGTTTAATTTTGTATTCCCTAAGCCCCTAACTTAGTCGTGGTTGACCTTGAATTACACAAATTGGCACACTGAATGCTGGTTGAAAATTTGGACTTGCCGGAATGTGCATGTCTTGCCTGTGGACCTTGACTTTTGTTGTTTTATCAAGTTACTTGAAGGTTGATAAATTTGATTGTAAATATGCTGGCGCCTGGCAAAACACTAGTTGTAAATCGTAAAACACCGAATAAATGGTTAAGGTACAAATGTCACTACATTTCAATCAGTCTGTATCATGTAATACGAGAAATCAGATGGTCAGTGCTCTATCGACAACCCATTGCCTACTTCCAACTACTTCTCTGCTACTTCCATATATGACGAATGCTAACGTGTTTTCAAGGGTCATCTTCATTCCTGATCCTGTCAGATCTGACTGGGCTTTCATGTTTACTCTTTGCTCTTGTTCAATATTTGATCAATGTTTTCTTTCCAGTGCAATGCTCAAGAAGGTTTAGAAGGCAACCCTACTGCCGGTACCATTAAAAACGTCTCTAGGGTCTTTGCAGCACTGACAATACCTCTCACAGCTAGTTTTCCCAAGGTATGTGGTGTATCATTTATGGTTTTCACGACATAAGACTCTCGGTTCTTTCATATTGTAATCATTCCTTGTCAAATATTGGCCATAAACTCTTTCTCCTTTTGGATAGATAGCTCTATTTCCAAATCATCAAATTATTTCATTTGATTTTACCAGTGAAACCTGTAAATTCCATTTATCGCTTATCTGCAGGCTATATTCTGTTATTGGATCACCTCCAACCTTTTTTCACTTGCATATGGATTAGGTGAGTCTGGTTACTATTATTTCTCATATTAATAACTCAGTTTTATTTATGTATTTTGATTTCTTGTTCTTTCCAGTGATAAAGAGACCCGCTGTTAAGAAGAAGTTGGGAATACCAAGCATACCCGTGCCACCACCTCCACCACCTTCAACTAATCAAAAACCTAGCTTCTCGTTTTTCGAAGCACTAAAGAAGTTTGCAGCAGCACAACAACAACAATCTCTATCATCATCTGCCGAACAATCATCAAAACCTACGAATGGAAGAATACCCTCATCATCCGACCTTAATCAACGGATTAAGAGCTTGGAGAAGCAAGTCAAGGGAAGAAAGAAAGGGAAGAGAAGGTGATATAACGGTAAGTGAAATTATAATTACCTAAGAGAATAGTTTTGTTGGTCGCTTGAATAATGCGAATCTGTTAAACATCTCTAGTGACTAGACATTTAGTCATAATAGAAGGGTTCGTAGCACCATCGTTTTGGAATATCTTTTTAACGGTGAGAGGGGATTTGAGTACTGGGTTTCTTGATATTGTGAGGTGGGCTAAAATGAGTAGTGAAACTTATGCCAACTCATTGAAGAGTGAGCTTAGATATATGTATGATGACTACTTTTAAAGCATTTTTGTATTGATTAATAATGAACGATTTCGTTGATGAAAAACTGAGTTTCAGTGGGCATTAAAACGCAGCATCTATTATTTGCCTTTGTTGCCTGAATCATTTTATCTTCTTCATATTGTGGTTGGTTTGATTGGGAATCTGCATATTAAGTGTTGGTCTCTTTGTTGTTGAGGTCATGTTCCACTTTTGGGCTTTATTTATAATGTTATTATCACAGTTTTGTTTTTTTTCTTTTAGTTTGTAGTTTAAAAACAATTTGAATTTGAGAAGTTTTTCTCAATTTTTGCAATTTGAATCACTATTCCTTTTATCGCTTGGCTCGTTTAAATAATTGTTATAGCTTGGCTTGTTTAAATATATTAGCGAGCTGAACTGGAGTTTTCACGAATCACACCAACATAGTTTGGTTCGTTAACAGTTCTAGTTCCCCGAAGTTTCTTTTCTAGATCCGCCATTATTGGAGGTTTGCAGAGCATCTCTAATAGTAAACCTCTACAAATCTTTTTTTTTTTTTTTCAATGTGTTAATATTACCCAAAACTTCATTCTTGCTCTTACAACAAAAAACTCTAAATAACCGTAAAACTTTCTAATGGTTCCCTCATGTTTCCTAATTACTCTATTTTATATCATACTTTTTATATATTAAATTAAAATTCACCATAAAACTATATTTATTTACTATAAATTATACTTTCTAACTTGAATTGAGCCTCACATAAGGTTTGGTTGAGGTTTGAAAACACAAATTTGATTTTTGTAAATACAAACTTTAACCTCTGGCTTCTAATGGCAAACCTTACAGGTTTGCATTTTTAAACCTCTTCAAAACTTCCTATTAAAGATGCTTTCTGCCTAATGCTGTAAACGAATCGAACCGAATTGAGTCTGGATTGCTCGGACTCGTGTTCGTTTACATTCGAATAGTGTTCGTGTTTGTTCGTTTATTTTTTCGAGCAGAAAATCGTGTTCGAGCTCGTTCATTTAATTGTTCGTCAAAGTTCGAGTTCGTTCCTGTTCGAATAATATAACACATAATTTTTTAAAATATGTTTGATTAACTCGAAATTTGTTCGTTCGAACTCGAAAATAAAAACAAAATATTTTAATATTTTAAATTTTTTATTAAAAATATTATGTAAATGTATAAAAGATAAAATAAAATTATATTAAATTAATGTTCACGAACATTATCAAACGTTCGCGAACGAGTTCCTGTGCGTTCGCTTATTAAACGAGTCTATTCTTTTTGTTCGAACTCGACTCGATTAATAAACGAACGAGTTTTTGTCGAACACGAACAAATTTTTGTTTGCGAACATTCGGTTCGTTTACAGCTTTATTATGAGGATAGGAGTAAGATAAGAGTTTTAGATGACGTGACATATTGAGAAATGTAAAAATAAGGCTTATTGAGATTGTTAAAGATGCTTTAATAATCTTTATGTT